ACACACTCACACACATACAAATTATATTTTAATAATACAATGTCCACCCAGCCTTTCTACCTGGAGTGCCGGCGTGGACTTTTCCCTGGGGTCCAGTGGGGCGGGCGCCTGTCTGCATCACGGCCGCGGCGAGGGAGCTGTGTGCTCTCTGCTCCCTCTCGCCGCGCGGGCTGTCTGCTGTAGCTGGGAGCCGGAATATGACGTCATATTCCGGCTCCCGGCATCAGCGCGCGGCGAGATGCAGCAGAGAGCAGACAGCTCCCTCGCCGCGGCTGAGATGCAGAGCGGGGGGTATCCATCACCTCTTGCCCTCCCCATGACAGGGGCAAGAGGTGAGACAGGGGGCGCTGAGTGTCTGCAGGAACAGGGTTCCTGCTGAAAAAAAAGTGCAGGAACACTGTTCCTGCAGGACTCAAACGATAGGCATGCCACGGGGATTAGGGTGTGCCCAGTCACACCCGGCACACCCCGTGCGCACACCTATGGGTAGAAGTGGACCCAGTTGCTTATGGATAGGGATAATTTTGATACACACAAACTGTACGAATATCTAGCAGGGGTGGACTGAGAGCAGTTAAGGCCCAGGACAAAAGTAGAGCCCTAGCCCTCTTAAGGCCAAATAAATGTGCATTAATTATATGATAAATATAACGCTCATGTAATACCGCATTTCTTTGGATGTGTACAGCGAGAACACCTTTGTTAAATGCATGTTTATATTTGAGTGTGTAAAATCTGTGCAAATGCACTTCAGATACACATCTGAAAGGATGCATGTGGGGTTTTTTTTGAGCATAGTGTCAGTATGAATTTATATGCATTGGTTATTAGTGTGTGACTGCATGTATGCATTTGAGTAAATATATGTGTATGAATAGAGGAATGTAGTTTTATCTTCTGCAAATATATTAAAGCAATGATGTATTTGTATGTGACTTAATATCACCATACAATGTGTCAAAGCAGGGATGTATGTGTGTTTAATGTTGATGTGCACAGGGCCGTACTGGCCCACCAGGATACCGGGAAATTTCCCGGTGGGCCGCGGTATCTGGGGCTGGGCTGACAGCCCTTATCATTGCTCAGGCTCCTGTGATCCCGGCCGGCCATGTGTGAGCTGTGCGGCCGCACAGGACCCCATGGGAGCAGGGGGAGCCAGGCGGCCGGCACAGCTCACACATGGCCAGCCGGGATCATAAAAATAAAAAATGCGGCGGGGCTTAGCGTGCAGCAGGGCGGGGCTTAGCGTGCAGCGGGGGCGGAGCTTACTGTGCGACGGGGGCCTGGCTAACTGCAGCATGGGAAGCAGGAAAGAGTCCTGCTTTCCCAACAACCAGCCTCCAGGAGCTCCAAGCAGGAGATAAGAAGCAGGTCAGTGTGTGACTGCCTGTGAGTGTGTGACTGTGTGTGTGTGTGACTGTCTGCGTGTGTGACTGTGTATGTGTGACTGTCTGCCTGTGTGTGTGTGTGACTGCATGTGTGTGAGTGTGTGGCGGTCTGCCTGTATATGTGGCTATCTACCTGTGTGTTTGACTGTCTGCCTGAGTGTGTGGATGTTTTCCTCGGTGTCAGTGACTGTCTGCCTCTGTGTGTGTGTGTGCATGCATCTGCTAGGGAGTTTGTGTGTGTGTGTGTGCCTGCTAGTGAGTGAGCTTGTATGTGTGTCAGTGAGCTTGTCTGTAGGGATCATATGTGTGTGTGTGTGTGTGTTAGTGAGCTTGTCTGTAAGGAGCATGGGTGTGTCGGGGCCTGTCTGTGGTGAGCATGTGTGTACAGTGAGCTTGTCTGTAGTAAGCATGAGTGTGATCGTGAGCTTGTCTGTAGTGACCATATGTGTGTCAGTGAGCTTGTCTGTAGTGAGCATGTGTGTGTCAATGGGCTTGTCTGTAGGGAGAGTGTGTGCGCATCAGTGAGCTTGTATGTAGTGAGCGTGTGTGTGACAGTGAGCTTGTCTGTAGTAAGCTTGTGTGTGTATCAGAGTTTGTCCGTACTAAATTTGTGTGTGTGCCAGTAACCTTGTCTGTGTGTGTCATTGAGATTGTCTGTCAATGAGCCTATTTGTGTGCATCAGTAAGATTGTCTGTGTCTGTGTGTGAGTATGCTTTACTGTATAATTTAATTACCCTAAAAGAACTAATATTTTGAATTAGAAGAAGAAATGTATCAATAATATATATATATATATATATATATATATATATATATATATATATATATATATATATATATATATATATATATAATATATACTGTTGCATCACCAGGGCTCCAGAATCCAGGCAATTGAAATAGTTGGCTGCACTCTCAGATTTCCTTAAAACGTAACTTTTATTGAAATATTTAAGAGAAGATCAATGTTTCAGTCCCTCTTGTGGACTTTCGTCATGATCCTGATGCAGCCAACTATTTCAATTTGCTACATATATATATATATATATATATAAACACCCTACATAGCACAATGACTTATGGGGCTGGCATAGATTTTTTTTCCAGGGCTGCTTTGTATCCCCAGTCTGGCCCTGGATGTGCATCAACCTTGAAGTATAATATAGTGTTCTAGAAGTGAGTATAACAGATGTACGTAAAAGCAGGGGTATCTGTATGGAATTTAGATGTGTAAGGGTGTTTTTCTGCTGGGTTGTAATTTTGTTGAGGGCCTCAGGAGTACATTTGAGCAGTTTGTGAGGTGTATGAAGCAGAAGTGTATGTGTGTATAGTGAAAGCCTGTGTAAATGACAAATGGATTAGAAATTTGTCTCAGTGTGTGTGTGAAAAGAGGGGTGTAGTTGATATCAATATTATTGTGTGTGAATGTGTAATTGAAACTAGTGTCAAAGTCTATGTGTATTAGAGATTTATTTATATGGTGCAAGTGTTTTGTTTTTTACAGTTTTGCTTTCGTTCTCCCACCTCCTTTGGCGCCCTTTTCACCATCCTCCACCACTTATATATTTGCATCATCCACCTGTTTGTCTCCACAATATTTTTACATCACCCACCGGTTTGTCTCCACAATATTTTTACATCACCCACCGGTTTGTCTCTTTAGTCTGTCACACCTTGCCTCCCCATTACCCTCCTGTAACCCTCTACTGTGACCTTCACAACTGTTACACATCACACTGCTCCTTCTCAAACACCCCACTTGTGCCTTTCTCACATTGCTAACCCACCTTTTTGTTTTGTGCCCCTTCTCATTAACCCCACATGTCTGTATCCAACACCCCTTTGTGCCTCTAGCTCATATTTCCCCTATCCCTATCAATATCAAGCATCTCTATGTCTCTTTCCCATTGTTGTCCCTATATATTTATCATGCCCTACCTGATTCGCTTTCCATGATTTTCTCCCTCTGATTGCTCCCTTATATCTATTCTATTCTCTGTTCCTTACATAGTTTCCACTCCTTGCCTCTCTTCTGTTTTTCTGTCGCATTCAGCAACTTTCATTTCCTCCCCATCTTCCCCTTTTCTCTCCTACATCTCTTCATGTTCCCTGTTGTCTCTGACAGGCTGCTGCCCCCTCACCTCAGTGACTGAGAGCGCTCTGTGTGAGAGGAAAGTGCAGGAAGTGACCTTCGCTCAGCCTCTCCCCATCATACAGGGAGCCGCATGGGACAGCAAGGAGTAGAGCTGACAGAGAGACCACTAATGCTGCCAGGTCTCACTTAGCGCGGGGGCTGGAAATGTGCAGCACAGTAGAATGCCTTTCCAGTTTGCATAACTCATATCTCCCAAGCTGGAGCATTGCTGTGCGGCCAGGCCCCAGGCTGTCACTGGTCCTCGGTCCATGACCAATGTCCATCCGCGCCTGATGTCTAGGTGTCTCTATAACTCCTTAAGGACGGAGGCAATTGTACAAGTTCTGATCAAAGCACCATCAAAACAAAACCTGTGATTTGACTATATGTCTATTTAACCTTAATTCACCTCTTTCATATGAAGTGCACCCACACTTATTACATAACATTTTGTTCAGGAGAAACAGGGCTTTTATTTCACATCATATATTCATAAACATAATTTAATATGGATAAAAATCTAAGGAAATTTGAGAAATTAAGAAATTTGGGCATTTTTTTTTTTTTAGTTCTGCATGGCATTTTAACTGTAAATGTCATAATACTGTTTGCTTTTTACTGCGATAAAATACACATATTTGTATTCAGTGATGTTTCATGCGTAAAACAGTAACCTCCATGATGGCATTTATATTTGTTTGTGTGTGAAAAATGCAAAAAATGAATATGACTGCTAATTTTGGCCAGTGTTTGGGACTAAGTGACTACTAAAAAAGACTGAATATACCCCATTCACAATACCTTGGCTTGTCTACTTTTGCAAATGGTATGCCATCATGGGGATAATTCTCATTATTGGGCTACCATACGGTCTCAAAGGCAACGTAACCAATCTGGCGAATTTCAATGTGAAGAAACTGAAATGCAAGCATTATATTTGACCCTGTAACTTTTGAAAACACCATAAAACCTGTAACTGTCTGCTTTTTACTTTAAATCCTCGTTCAGGACTGCCTGCCAGAGGCGGAACCTTTCTGCCTTCCTCTTGTTTCCCTGGGGAATGTTTGATCATCAGGCCCCCCTCCTTCCTCTGGTTTTGGAGGCAAAAGGCTGTGACTCAGCATTTAGATGCACAGCAAGCCAGCAGCACCTCGTGGGAAGGCATTTGTTACTGAAGTTTTTCTAAAGTTTAAAGGGACACTATAGTCACCCAGACCACTTCAGCTCAATGAAGTGGTCTGGGTGCCAGGTCCCTCAGGTTTTAACCCTTCAGATGCAAACATAGCAGTTTCAGAGAAACTGCTATGTTTACATTTGGGGTTAATCCAGCCTCTAGTGGCTGTCTCACTGACAGCCGCTAGAGGCGCAACTGCGACGCTGGAGGCATATTATGCCTCCACCACGCAGAGCGTACATAGGAAAGCATTGAGAAATGCTTTCCTCTGACACTTTGAATGCACGCGCGGCACTGCTGCGC